GAGGTCACAGGTTTCTGAAATATTAGTGCTTACAGGCCACAGGGGTCTGAATCATAAGTGTTAACAGGTTGTGGGTTTCTAAATTATAGTGTTCTGAGGTCACAGGTTTCTGAAATATAAGTGTTGACATGTCACAGGTTTCTGAATCGTTTTTGAATTGAATTTGCAATAGTCACATACTATACATACAATTTATTTCAATGCTATATAAATGGCATGCTACAACCAATTAAAGAATGTTTGTCCTTTCTTGAATTTGGCTTAATGGAACCAAGCTACTGCATCTTCTACGATTGTGACCAAGTCCTCCACAATGTCCACATTTCACAGTCGATTTCCCTTCACTGGATGAAAAATTGAATTCATGCAGGTCACATATGCATGTAAAGTTGAATTCATGCAGGTCACATATGCATGTAAAGTTGAATTTTTGCAATTTTTCGCCACAGATTGGAGCCTTCAATTCGACTGTTACCGGAATTGATTGACAATTGAAAACTCGGTACAGAAAATCAACTATGATCGGAATTGAAAACCTTCGAATGGTGACCGGAAATCTTTGACCGGTGATGGATTTCCGTCGGGCTGAAATTGGATTTGTATTTTAGAGAGATGATTTGGTATTTATGGAATCCTAATCATGTATTTTAGAGAAGGTGTTTTGGTATTTAAGGAATGTAATCTAACAGATTATTGATTAATCAATATAATTAATTAATTGAGGAAAAATCGGATTTTTGAAATCTGTAAACTTGATGCCTGAATATTGATTGGGCCAAAGATAATACTGGATCCATGATTTTTTCCCATAAATCTATTGGATGGACTTAGTAAGAGAATTTAAAGTCTCCTGCTGCAGACCATTGTATGAGCCCAGTCAATAGAACTTACATGGCATCTTTTCTTTTATATCAAAATTGGTGCTTTATATTGACTTCATTATTGGGAGGAATTACACGAGGACCTATTTTTAAGTTTCAATTTAAAAAATAAGATCTAAAAGTTTTTTTGCACAAAAATCATGTGATATTTAACGTTTAAATTATAAATAATAATATTATAAAATTAAAATAATCCACCCACCCCACATCACCTCACCCCACCCAAATTCACTCCAAACCCATTTCATTTCCATCTTCCTTCTTCCTATACTCTCTCCATTTCTCTCTCTACCCATTTATTTTCTTCTTCAATGGTTGTCACAACAACGATATTGCTTGCTACTCCCTCCCTACCAATTTATTTTCTTCTTCATTGGTTCTCACAGCGGCGATGTAACTCGTCGCTATGAGCTTTTACGACAGAGGCGAATTAATCGTCGCTATGCATGACGATCGCGAGCTATTTGAGCGGGCCTAGAGTTCTACGAGCTCATATCGTCACTGCGGGCGGTGCTCTGAGCACCACAGTTCACCGCCCACAGCGGCGATAAGTTTGCAGCTGCGTCGGCGAACCTCAGATCATCGCTGTAGCGATTTTGTGGTGGTTTGTGGCAGTTTTTGAGGTGGTTTTTTTTTTTTTTTAAGCGATCTGTGGTGGTTTTTGAGTGGTGGTGCTTGTGGTGATCACATGTTCATAGAGTATATGTTAAATGCCGCGTTGATATTTGTTGGTAGTGACGATGGTGGTGATAGGTCACAAGTCATTGTGCATTGGTTATCTATAAATATTCACATGTCACAGATCAAACAAAACTGATCACATATCATATGTTTGCATGTCACAAGTCACATTCCACATGTCAACATGCTATATTGTATAGGTCACAAATTTTGTATATATATGTTTTTTCCCCTCAAGGCCACTGAGATTAGTATCCGACCGTAAACTTCAGGATCTCGTGGAATTAGTCGAGGTACGCGCAATCTGGCCTGGACATCCACGATTATATAAAAAAAAAAAATTGTATAGGTCACAAATCAATGTTCATCGTGCGTAAGTCTAGTTCAGTATAAGTAAGTCACAAATCAATTAAAATTGGTTACGAATTAATGTTCATAGATCATAGATCTATTTAATTGGTCACAGATCAATGTCCACAAACCATATATCAATTAAAATTGGTCATAGATCAATGTCCATAAGATCACATGTCACAGGTAACATGTCATATGTCAAAGTGCACATGTCACAAATTTAAGAGATCTACTCACATGCCATTGATATCTCTGACCTCAGTTCTCTGAACTACTCACAAATTCAATTAGCCAAATTTTAATAGTAAGAATTGAAGTTATTTGTTTCAGTTAGTACTCCGTAAATTACACCAAGGGCTATTTTTCAATTTCCAATTTTAAAAATAGATTTAAATTACACCAACACCGCTCAGTCGCCTTTGAAGAAGATGCTCAGTCGCAGGCGATGCTCAGTCGATGTTCTCCAACGATCGCTATGTTTCTACCTCTATTTTTACTATTTGAGTTGACGATGCTTAGTTGCCGCTGAGTGGCGATTAGCTCGCTGTTGAAGTCATCGACGACTTCTGTAGATTCTATCTTTCCTTCGATAAAGTTATTTGGATGCTGGTAACAGCGAAAGTGGATGCCGACGACTATACGAGGGAGTGGCGACGAGGGGGTGTGCGAGAGTGGGGTGGGGTAGGGTGGGGTGGGGTGGGGTGGGTAGATTAATTTAATTTGATAATATTATTATTTGAAACTAAATTATGGAATTGACATCTGACTTTTTGAATTTTAAACTTAAATCTTTGAAAATTGAACTGATACATATTTAATACTTGATATATGAATTTTTCCCAAGAATAAGTATGATGCCTTAAGTATACCCTATTTCTATTTATAAAAAAAAAAAAAAAAAGTTTATATTTCAAAACTTAGGTGATATATATAGTCTATATATAAAAATTATATTATATTAAATTAGATTTCTGAAATCAAATATTACATTACTATCTCAAATCAGACTCTCCAAAATACAAATTCACCATCGAATAGAAGAGAAAAGCCATAAATACCCATCCTATTCTCGATTATCATTATTGCATTCTAGTTGATTGAAAATCATTGGACAATTGAGGTCACAAATTGGAAGCTATCAGAAGATCGAGGAAAAATAGAATTCACAGAGAACTCACCGAAGCAAATAACTTCGATTCTCACCGTAGGAATCTGGTTAATTGAAACTTGCCGAACGATTGAGGTCAAAAGTTGGAAGTTTTCGAAATTGTGTATCAGAAGATCGAACAAGGGAAAATCTACAGAGTACTCATTGGAGCAAATAACTTCGATTCTCACCGTCGAAATCTGATTAATTGAATTTATGACCAGTTCGAAGAAATCAATGGCATATGACCAGTTCTATTGAATTTGTGACCTACGACCTATGCGTTTTGACATGTAACCTGTTACATGTAACATGTAAATTGTTAAATTTGATATTGATCTAATGGCTTGTGACTAGTCCTCTTGGATTTGTGAACTGTGAAAATTGATCAGTTACTTATGTAATATGACTTGTGAATTATAACATATGAACTGTGATCTGTGACTCGTTATCAGTGCAAAAGGACTTGTGATATATGATATATGACCAATTAGTTTTGATCTGTAGCCTGTTGATTGCGAGATATGTGACTAGTTCTATTTGATGTGTAATTTATGCACAACGACCCTTGACCTATCACTACCACCAGTGGATTGTGACCCTTGACCTGCAAACACGATCTATGACCAATTCTATTTGATATGTGACCTATGGAAATTTATCTAACCTATGCACAATGACCTGTGACCTATCACCACCAGTAGACATCAACGAAAATTTATCTGTGTCCTATGCACAATGACCTGTGACATATCACCACTGGTAGACATCAACGCAACATTTGACACACTATGAATATGTGACTATTGCCATCGCCACTACCACAAAACCACCTAAAAAACCACTACAAAACCACTGCAAAACCACTACAAACCATTGCAAAACCACCGAAAACCACAAATCGCTGCAAAACACCACAAATTGATCAATTTGGCCAATATGGGAAGGCAAGAATAGCATCCCAGAAACCTCCGCCGCTGGTAGCAACGTCGCAGAAGCAACAAGCGACGTTGTGATCTCGTTGCAGAAGCTAAGCTAATGCAACTCCAAAAAAAAAGTTCAAACTGTCGCGCACCCAAGTTAATGCAGAAATAGTTTGTGGGGGCGAACCTTTTGCCGTCACTCAAATCACCATCAAGGGCGATCTGTGCAATGTGCTATGCGCGATAGCGGCGATCTGGCTCCACACACAACAGCACTCAGTGTGTCAATGCCGGTAAAGAGGAAATGTGAAATAATTTTCATCCTCGACTACAAAGACGAGTACAAATGTGAAATAATTTCGAGTTTGGATTAGGTGGAGGTGGGGGTTGGGCGGTAGTGAGATGGGTAGATTAATTAATTTTATAATATTATTATTAATATTAATAGTTGAATTATCACCCAATTTACGGATAAGTAAACCATACGTATAATTTTTGAAATACAATCTTTAAAAACCTACCCCATTGTAATTTTCACTTCATTATTTCAACTTAAAACTCTCTCGACTTAAGTGAGTGTTTTAGAGAATTATCCTAAACCAAATTCGAACATAAAAGTGATCTAGTTCACACTATATAGTCTCAATTACAATACTGATGTCCTTGAAGCCACTCCCAAGTCAATTGAGGGCAAAAGTGATTCATATCCTTAATTATTTTCAATGCCCACAATGATCTATAGGTATTCAATATGATTATGTACCTAGAGAAAAAAATATATTGATTATATACAACAAATCCTAGAACATGACGCGATATTATATAGTAGAATCATGTAATCTTTCCATTGTCGATGTAGAAAGTCAGTTCGTTCTTAGTTTTCTTGGCATAGAAATACTAGTGGGATACACATTATGTTGAAGAATTCTTATATTAATGTATATACAATTCAAATTTGTAATAATGCTCAATTCAGATGTAAGCAGTGAGGCTAAAAATGTTCACCAGACATGTTTATGCTGCTTGGGGAGGTGTAGATGTCAAAGTTGATAGCCAATCCAATAAAGCCTTATTAACTTCATCTGGAACTTCATCGTGTGGACAATGTCCTGCTTGTAGGTTTACAAGGGAGGTATTCGGATAAAACTCCTTGATTCGAAGAGCTTTGGCAGAACCGACCCAAGGGTCCAAGTCACCCCAGAGAAGTAGCAATGGGCAAGAGAGTTTGCTCAAGACACTGTCAAGGGTGTACTTTCTTTGGTTTGACATGAATCTTGTCATAAGTCTGCAGTATCAAATGAAAGAAAATATAAGATGTAGGGGAAATATAAATAGTCAGTTAAAAATGGGTAACAAGGGACAGTTTGGAGTAAGGGATTGTGCTATGGATAATCTTAATCAGCACGTGTAAAAGATTCCGACATACATGTAGATTTATGAAAGACTGTCGGAGAGTCTATATGAATGTTTGGTACAGTTCAATAGACAAGGTTTTAGCTTACTTTTCTTCTTTAATACTGTTAAGTTTCCCTTATCAGACATGCTACGAGTTATTTATTCAGAAAAAAATGTGACAGCAAAAGCTATCTTTTGTTCTATTACTCCAATAAAGCATACACTGCTGATACTGCTTGTTCTGCACTGTAACCATTTTCAACTGACCTAATTCACTACCAATTAATTCAGAGGCTAAAAAGCTACGAACAGTTTATTTGGAACTTGACTAAATTCCAAAATAAGTAAAATAGAATAATGGTTTTTATCTACCACAATAGCATGGCTACTCAACTCCAATACACAAAATATAATTTAATCTCAGACTACATGTTCAGAAACTATTTTGATGCTCAATAAGAACTGCGAGAATCTTGATTATGTAAAATGGGGAATACAACATACCTGTAATATACTTCACCTGCATTTGGGTCATCCGCTGGCCTTGTAATTGAATCAATGAGATAATCATCAACATTCTCGGCATTTATATATACCTGAAATAAACAAAACATACATTTCATCACGTATATTTCATGCATACTAGATAGATAAGAACTAAGAAGCGTCAATATGGACATTGGGCATGGATATGGATATGTAAACTGTCATATTCTCAATAGAAATAAACGTGTCAAAGACACTATGCACCAGTTACTATGTACCAGTTATGAACATTATGCAAGTTTATATAATTATATGTTTAATCATGTATGGTTTTCTTCTCTATCTCCATAATTGTGCATTTATGACTAAGAAAGTTAAGTTTTATATATTAATCTCATACATGTAATCTGATATGTATATGCAATCTTCTTGATTGGTCGTCTACTCATCTCTGTGCAAGATGTCGTACATGATTGCTAGGCCATACAGACAAAAATATTTCCTTTGGCATCTTAGTGAATAAGTAGTAAATGTAATATACAAGACTATAGAAAGTACAACCTAAGGCCTCAAGAAAAAATAAATTATAACTGTTGTAAGATGACAAAAAGCAGCTACCTCTTGCTATGGCATCACTAAATTATCATGCAAATTAAAATAATTAGTTCGTTGATTTCTTATAAATACGAAGTCAAACTATTGCTCTAAGTTGCCAGGAGATCTACAAATATTTAATAAGACAACTTATTCAACGGTAACTTCAACAGGAAATTACCTTGTCAAGTTTCTTATTCATTAATCGGTTGTATCTGGATCCTACAGAATTGGCTAAAGACATCAGTCCCATTCATTTTCTAATTACCATGTTCGAGATATATTATATGACATTTGAAAGGTTGTATTATGACAAAGAATAACGACCTTTCTTGCTGGAATTAGCATTTACAAAATTAACTTTGCCTATAGAATTAAAAAGTAAAGGTTTTCAATATAAATGTCAAGGACTTGTCTTACACTCTTCAAGACAGATTCAATGCGTGCTCGTTTCTTGGCTTGCCAAAACAAAAATCCAAGAACCACACGCTGAAAAATTTCCTTCAGTGGCTTTACCATGAATTTCTGCAAGGCTGTTTCTTCAGGATCATTGGTTCCACTACTGACATCCCCAAATTGTCCAGCAGAATTTAGCAATACTACTCCCTTGACTTGATCCTTCAAAGCAGCTGCCGATACCAAAGCAGTAAATCCTCCGAGACTGAAAAATAAATATGTAAATAAATCTTTACTTTGAACAAAGAAAAGGAATTCTTCACATTACACTAGAAGTCCACACAAGATACAGTCACGTTCTTAACAATTAAAGTTTTGCTACTTTATAAACTCATTTTGGATTTGCTAATAATACACATAAATTGGACAAACATGTGCTTGAATGAAAAGGTAACAGTGTCAGATAAAGTAGCATATCTATCTTTCAAAAGTATTTATGGACAAAGTGTTCATGAACAACTATTTAAGTCTCTCATGGTTATTAATAAACGCCAAATAAAAGTATCGGTCAAGTATATGGAGCTTCAGAAGACAAAGAGTCGACATATTTCTGAAACAATATTAAACTTTTATTGATATTAAAAATATAACAGGCAAAGAAGGGCATCCAACTCAACCACAAAACCAACTATGAAGCAATCATATCTCCATAACCTACTCCCTAAGAAAATATCTTAGTATAAATCACATTGCAATAACATCCAATTATTTTTTGGTGTAAGGAACAGATCTCGACAACACTGACTTACTTCTTACTTCACTTAGAAACTCGGTGGCAACACCTGTTCTGATTCTAAGACCGACCATCAGACCATGCTGTTCCAATTGCTCTCTCTCTCGATGGAAAATACCCAGTAACTGCAAAAAGCGATCTTAACTAACCAATTCCAGAAAGTATCATCATGCAAGGTATTAATCATCCAAGTTAATTCCTTCTCAGATATTAACTTGCCAACTCAGCATGACAGTTAGCTTGGACTTATGGAATCCATTATGATGACCAATGGGGTAAATGTCATAAAGCTGGGTGACTAATTTTTGATATGTTTTAGTTCAGGGTAAGCAAGCATGTAAGTTCAGGGACCAACCAGGTTAACTCCAATATTCTGCAACAAGAAAAGCAACATTCCTTTAAAAATGGATATCAGCGATGATGTCGGCGGGAGTAATAATTGCAAGATGGGGTGTTTTCGGCGATGGCTGGAAGTGGGTGAATACAGGTTTAGCCAATTGTGATTGCGGGTTTTATCAGTTTAGGGATAGCAGCGGTCAGTGGATGGTGGTTGTATGTAGAGATTTATTTTGTATGTGGATCGTTGCTGGAAATCTTGGAACACGCTGAGATTTTCCCCTTTGTGGAGTTGCACCCACTTATAGCAAAAACAAGGTGATGGTTGGTGGTTATGACTTCAGTGTTGTGTGTGGCTTTTGGATGAAATTGATAGAACAGTTGTAGTTATAGCTCTGTTTGATGGAGGAAGCTAGGTTTAGCTCTGATACCAAATTTGATGCAGCAAAAATTGAGTTTCCAGCAGATAATTAGATTTATAGCAAGAGAACAGAGTCAGAGGAGTAGCAGTACAGAACCAGAATAAGAAGGGAAGAAGAGAAGGGTTAGAATTACAGAAAGAAGGGAAAGAAGAAGAAGAGAAGCAAGAAAGGGGAACCGGAGGAGATTCCAAGGGAAAGAAGGAGAAGCATGGGAGGAAAGCTTTAGCTGCAAGTCAAACACAATTTCATTTCAATCATTCATCATCTCCCTTTGCAAGCAAGATTACAAGCCATATATAGAAAGAAAAACAACCCTAAAGATGGAAAGGCTTGGACCGGCCCAATAGACAAACGCAACCACTAAACATAAATAAAAGTCAATAACATAAATAAGAGTCCAAAAACTAAACATAGATATAGTGATGTCCTCATCACTTTGTCTAGAGTGGATAGGTCGGTTCCCTCCGTGATTACCAGAAGGAATTTGAAAGGTTGGGCAACCGAGTTCACGACTGAACACAAAAGGCATTGGTAGAAACCTTCATGGGTAGACTCAAAATTGGAGATAGCTGAAGGCATTTGAATGTTCAAACCCCAAATGTTGAAGGAAACTATCAGCCTTGCTTGGATGTGAGATGAGCACCTGCTTCGCCAACAGAGTTTCACACAGCCACTTCCAGCCAATGCACAGCCGACCCTTCCAACTCCAACGCAATCCACACAAACATCCCTGTGAAGAGGCTCACGTGGGATGAAATGCAGAAACGGAGAACATAGGTTTACTGCTGGTTACAAGTGCCCAAGCTCACAACTTTTACTACTAGAGGGGTGCACAAACACGGGCAAAATTACATGTGAAGAGATCATAGAGGACAACCTGAGTGAAGACAAAGCAAGTGCAAGTGAGTAACTTCCAGTAAGACTTCTAGAAGCAGTATCCAAGTGTGGATCTTGGGGACAAGTGTCCACTTGAGGGGGAGGTATTGATAGGTGAAGGATGAGAGAGCACGTGGGGTTAGTTGGCAAATAAGACCATGGAGCCGTTGAGAAGATTTAGTATTCTGTTTTCCAATTTTACATTTCTGTTTTGCATGTTCATTTCAGTTTTGCATTGCTGCTTCTATGATCTATTTCTTAGTATGTAAGTTGAACGTGATTGTCAGGCTTTGCCTATATAAACCACACTTTCAGTTTCAATATAATCAAGCATTCGATTCAGTAAATTGTGGTTTTGTTGTCACCCAAAGAGAATACTTTCTAAATGATATTTATGTGTCCTGACTGGGACCTATCAAAGCGTATCCAGACTTACACATATCCTTGCTTCTTAGAGCACAATTCAAGGGATTAAATGTGAAATAGATTCATAATACTTGGAAATACAAATCAAAATTGCAAGTTTTCCAGGAAGTAATCAGATGTCCATATAATTATTTGCACTAACCTGTTTCCAACTAAAACTGCAGGTTCTTTAACTATCTCCTTCATGAAATCCACAACCTGATCTCTCCATACCAAGGCATCATACTCAATAAGTGCCTTTTCACTCCAGCCAAACCCGAGCAAATCTAGAGCATAGACTTTGTACTTTTTAGCCAATTCTGGTATGTTGTACCTAATGAAGAGGCAAACAGGGAACATCAAACTTACCCCAGTTAAATACATATGATATAGTTACTGAGTACTAAAAACAACGCAGGCTCCTAATGTGCAATCTTGGGCTGCCAAATGGAGAATCAAGAGGTTCAAAATGTATGGAAACTATACTTTGCAAATTTTAGGTCCACCACAATGTCAATGCTCCTTCTTCCCACTTTCCATCTAAATTTAATATAATTTCGGTAAGATGAAGGAGAAGTAACTTTGGCAACATGAACTGAATAAATTTACTCTGTCTAAATTTTTAATTGTAACATGAGGGCGCTCATCAATTTTTCTAGCCCAAGACAGAAAGATTGAAATATTAATATTGCAAAACGTGAAGTGACTACCTCCAATGAAATGCAGAAGCCCCAAATCCATGAATTAGAACAATAGGCAACCCTTCTCCTTCCACTACATAATGTATTTTTCGACCTTGCCACATCCAGTAATTATATCCTTCCGGTTTAAAGGGTAACTTTTCCAAACCTAAACATTAACAACAACATATTATCATAATCCAGAAACAATCATACTAATTAAATCATATCCCATATACATAAACACTCTTTAAAAAGGGGCAAGTATTAAAAAAAAAAAAAAAAAACAAAACCTTGGCCCTTCGGTTCAGAAGCTACAGTAGAGTCCATTACTGAAGCTCCAGCAGCAACAATTCCTTTAAAAATAACATCCCTTCTACTCAATTCACACTTACTTCCTTGAAATTTGAACAAAAAAATATTTTAATTCACTAACTTCATAAACTACAGAAACTGTATGAAAAATTGCAAGAATCGAACTTACTGTAATTATGAAATCTCAACGGCCCAATGAACCTATTACTTCGAAATAATTCAGTTCTCACAGCATAGGACACTGATACACTTGAAGTTGACATTACCGGCTCTAGAAAAATCCTGGGTCAAGGAATTCCAGCGCTGTTGAGTTTGAGTAAAAAAATGAAAAGAGCTTAGAAATAATAGGGTAGAGCGTGGAGGACGAAGATTTTGATTTATCATTTTAGATGATATGTTAGTTTTTATTATGTGGTTGCAGTCATTCGAAAAATGTGGCGGACTGGTAACCAAGTAACGCTTTGTTTTACCGGGAAATTTTAAACTACCCTTTTTGTATATTCCTAGTGAAAACACTATTCAAAATAGAGAAATCTGCCTATTAAAAAAACTAAAAATGTGCCTCTTTCCTTTTTGGAAAAATTACCCCAAAACCTATACATTTCAAATATCAAATCTTGAATTTTTTAATGTGTTTTTGATGGTGCATTATGTGTCGGACATGTACATTATATAAAGAGACATGCTACAGGTATTGGGGTGGGTGGGTGAGGTTTTTGCCAATATTTTAATTTACAAGGGGCCCACCCTATGATAGTGAATTTCAAAAATCTGCATTAATTCTATTATTTTTTCCCTGTAGTCACGGCAATTTTCTTATATAAATAACAATATTATACATAGAATAATATGAGTATTGCTATAACAAGATGTAAATGTAAAGGCTATATAATTGCAAAAAGTTGAATTTGGAGATGAGAAATTGAAGAAACGGCAAAGAGAAAAAAAAAAAAAAAAAAAAAAAGAGAAAATGAAAGTTAACCTAAAAATGAGAAAAAGAAAAACGAACAAAATTGAAAGTCACGAATAAACGAACAAAATGGAAATTTATCTGTGATATGGATGATTGGGTGCCTTAATGCACGCTGCTGCCTTTAACAAAAAAACCTCTTCTGCATGAGCTGAGAAAAATGTAGTGATTATTATAATGTAAAAAAAATAAAAACCTTAATTTTGTAAGAAATTATTAGCCGAGGATATTTTTATATCATATTAAATAAAAAATAAAACGAAACGAAACTAAGCATGAGTTTTTTTCATACAAGATGCTACATAACCCTTATATTTTTAAGCTCTACGAACCTCTCATACTCTGATATACCTAAATTTAAGGTCACGCTTTTCCAACAAAGCGTGATTTAATAAACCGACATTCGTTTTTAGCCTTGGCAAGCATGTAGAGTTTTTATTTTTTTTATCACTGTTATTGTAACATTAGGATGGATAGAGGAAGAAAATTTTAATGTTTTCAAGATTTTAAATTAGTCAATAGTTTAAAAATGCAATATAAAGGATAATAACTATTCTTCAAACACTTACTATCATGTACATTTTTTATTTCTTTTGTTAAGGAAATGATATCTACTTTCGAGGCACTATGCATAATATGGATTACGAAACAAAAAGAAAGATTCAGATAAGTTTTACCATCTATAATGTATGTTTAAAGAGAAAATAAAATGTATTAAAAAAATTATATTGAAATGCAGATAAGCAAAAACAATTTAATTCTATAACATATTAACAAAATTATAAAGTTTAATAAGAGGAAAATGAAAGATACAACTTATGTTCCTGCGAATACTTTAGAGCTCGTATGTATGAAGTTTATATATATTGTCACGAGTTTCTACAACGTGAATTTATGCCGCAAGTGTACGGTGTCAAGTTTTGTAATATAGTATGAAAGTTAGGATGTCGAACACACATGGATTGTAATTTAATTTCTACCAACTACTATAATTGGGTAGCGTCTATTTTATTTAGACAAATAAATGATTGTTTGATTGTTTTAAACTAATTAAAAGTAAATGCTACGACAAAATTGGAGAAGATAAATTATCAAGATGAAAAAAAAGTTTAGGGAATAATTTCACCAACTTTCAATTATAATTCAATGACATCAAATTATTCCAATTAATTTTCCCAAATTTAAAAGCAAGAATCCAATTGTATTTCTCTCCCCTCTTTCGAGTGCTAGCTAGAAATTAATCGTAAAATTCAATTCCAATATCTTTATTCCGAACTAAAGTATAGAATTTATCAAAGTCCGATTCTTTTGTGAAGTAAGCTTCATAGGTCCTATACCTTCTCTCGAAACCCATAAAATCTATGTCGTGTCAATCCTATGATCGTGCCTAAATTCCCTCATCTCGAGTGCCGGAATTGATTAGCATCTAATCAATCAATTAGTGATCAAGTAATTGACAACATTATAACCATGACACAATTAAATAGAAACGGAAAATTCAATAGAAAATAATAATAAATCATCAATCCATAATTTCAAGTTTGGCTACATCAAACCCTAACTAAATTAATTAGTTCATGAATGGAAATATAAAATCAACACAATTTATAATAGACAACATAACGAAGAAAGGCAAGAAAAACTCTTTTGAAGTTTTAATCGAATTTCCCCTCAATATTGTTCATGCTCTTCCTCGATTTCTTCATTGGTTGACTTTTTTGAAATATCTCCTGTCCATTGTCTTTTTATTGCTCCCAAAATTACAAAAGAAAAATCAAAGAAAAGAAAAGGAAAAGAAAAGTAAAGTGAAAGAAAATAAAAGAAAACAAAAGGAAGAGAAAAACAGAAGACGGCTGTACGTCCCAGGCAGAAGCTGAAATTGAAAACTCCCGGTTCAAAAGTCATGTGCTGCCTTTTAATTTAAAACCCTATTCAGAAATTGCAGCCTAAGTCCCCAAGTTTTGAAAAAACAATTAAAACGGTCCATAGTGGAAGGCAGGACCTTTTCTGTTTTTCATTTTGTAGCCAAGTCCTCTAATATTTTCGAGTCCGGTCCCTCAACTATGATTTGGTACATTTTGGTCCTTGGATTTTGACTTTTCTTTCAATATTGCCCTCCATAAATTGCATCTTGAGTCCTTCAACTTTCTGCCCTTGTTCATATTGGTCCCCAACTTCACATTTTTGTATGCTTTTAGTCCATTTTGATGATTTTTGCCTACAAAAGCCAACATTATCCAATTGTGAATAGAAATTCGCTCAAATTAATAAATAATTAACTTGTTTAGGTATTAAATAAGTGTGCAAAAACACACTTATCGTATACCCCCAAACTTAATTTTTTGCTCGTCCCGAGCAAGATTATCTATAACACAATCATACAAACTAGATAAAGATCAACACATTAGATAGCTTGCCAAAAATATTAAAGAGTGTAAAATTGTATATCGATTCACAAGTATGCCTCCAATTAATGCTACCAAAAATAATTTAAGCTTATCCAATGTTCGATCGGTGTGTGTATACATAATCACTTTCAATCATCATCTAAATTAGGAAAAAATTGTCAAAATGGNAAATTCGCTCAAATTAATAAATAATTAACTTGTTTAGGTATTAAATAAGTGTGCAAAAACACACTTATCGTATACCCCCAAACTTAATTTTTTGCTCGTCCCGAGCAAGATTATCTATAACACAATCATACAAACTAGATAAAGATCAACACATTAGATAGCTTGCCAAAAATATTAAAGAGTGTAAAATTGTATATCGATTCACAAGTATGCCTCCAATTAATGCTACCAAAAATAATTTAAGCTTATCCAATGTTCGATCGGTGTGTGTATACATAATCACTTTCAATCATCATCTAAATTAGGAAAAAATTGTCAAAATGGAAAAGAATTCAAATTGGCTCCAACCCGACCCCTTGTGGTCAAATATGTCTTTTCCCACTCGTGAGATTCACACTCCTCACATAGATATTTCATTTCTTTCCTGGGTGTAAATTTAAAGGTTGCTCTCAATTCACTCATTTATTTTCCCACT